TACAGGAAACACACCTAAAATTCTCCAATACAAGTTTTTTGCGTGCTTACGTTATATACCGAATAGACCGAGATGATGTTGTGGCGACATCCGGTGACGTAGCATTAATCAAGGAGTAGTGTGTACACATTTACCACTCCAGACATCTCTTAAGGCGGTGGCTGTTCGAGCGGTACTTCTAAACGAACTCGTCACCATCTGCTCTTTGTACGTACCTCCCCACCACCGTCTTGAAAGACGTGAATTCCAGTCTTTAATAGACGAACTGCCTGAACCCTATTTGCTTCTTGGAGACCTAGATGCACATAGTGGACGGTGGGGCAATTCTCGCTGTGATGCACGATCTTGTCTCATTGAACAATTTCTCTTCTCTTCCGGTGCCTGTTTGTTGAACAGGAAAGAGCCAACATACTATAACGTTGCCAACAAAACTTACTCGTCTATAGACCTCAGCATCGTATCACCTTCACTCCTACCCCTACGGAAAGGAAAAAAATCATAAACATTCCTAATGGAAGTGACCATTTTTCTGTAGTTTTGAGTTCACAAACAACATATGATTGTCCTCTACATGTTTCCAAATGGCTCATAAACAAAGCAGACTGGGAACAGTTCCATAACACTACACGTTTAAGTTGGGCAGACATATGTAGGTTAAACATAGATGAAGCTGTGCAGTACTTCACAGCTTTTCTAACTGACGCAGCAGCCAAGTGCATACCGCAAACATCTGGAATGCCCGGCAAACGATACGTCCCATGGTGGAACACAGAGTGTCGTAATGCGCGAAAGGAACAGAACAGGGCATGGAGGTTGCTTCGGAACTCACCAACAGCCGAAAATCTCGATACTTTCAAGAAAATAAAGTCTCAAAGCAGGAGAACGCGTCGGCAAGCCAGAAGAGAAAGCTGGCAGAAGTTCTTATCAGGGACCAATTCATACACATAGGAGGCTAAAGTCTGGAACATGGTTGGTAGGGTAGCAGGAAGAAAAGCACATTCACTCCCACTCGTTAACACACAAGGTGATAGCCTGGAAGATCAGGCGAACTTCCTCGGTGCATACTATGAGCAGGTTTCTAGCTCGTCACACTATACTGAAGCCCTCCAAAGATACAAATCAAGGATAGAATAGCAGAAACTAGGATACAAGTGCACAAATTACGAGGCATACAACCAACCTTTCAACTTAGCTGAGCTACAAACATCACTTAACTTCTGCAGTAATCCTGCCACAGGCTACGACCGTGTCACATATGAAATGTTGAAAAACCTGCCGCGAAAACGCCAAACATTTTACTCTCCCTATACAATGCTATCTGGCTTTCTTGCACCATCTTTTCTTCCTGGAAATAAGCTATTGTTATCCCTATTTTGAAACAGGGCAAGAACTCTTCCTTAGTTGCGAGTTATAGGCCCATTGCACTTAAAAGCTGCCTTTGTAAGCTTTTTGAAGCCTTTGTAAGCTTTTTGAAAAGAATATAAACCACCGACTTCTACAATTTCTCGAAACACACAATCTGCTCGACCCATTCCAGTGCGGCTTTCGAGAGGGTAGATCCACCACCAACCATCTGGTGCGCATTGAGGCAGAGATCCGAGACGCTTTCGTCCACAAACCATACTTCCTCTCTTTGTTTCTCGATATTGAGAAGGCATACGACACAACATGGCGTCTTGGCATATTAGGAGGCCCGTCTCACTTGGGTGTGTGGGGTAGAATGCTTTCCATAATCAAGAGTTACTTGTCGAATCGGACATTCCGTGTCCATTTGTGCGGTATTCTCTCCCAAAAATTTGTCCAAGAAACAGGAGTACCGCAAGGTGGTGTACTTAGTTGTACGCTTTTTATTATCAAAATGAATTCCTTGCACCTGTCCATCCTCCGCAACATGTTCTACTCTACATATGCCTATGACGTCCAGCTTGGCTTTAGGTCATCCAACCTGGCAATGTGTGAGCGGCAGGTTCAGTTAGGTTTAAACAAGGTCTCCAAATGGGCAGCGGAAAACGGATTCTGACTGCACCCACAAAAAGCACGTGTGTCTTGTTATCCCGAAAAAGAGGCATGCACTCAGAACCCGACATTGAACTGAACGGGCAACGTCTGTCCGTCAAAGCCGAGCATAAATTCTTAGGCTTAATCTTGGACAACAAGTTGACCTTCGTACCGTACATCAAGTATTTAAAAACAAAATGTTTAAAAGCCATGAATGTTACAAAAGTGTTGTCACGTACTACGTGGGGTAGTGATAGGCAATGCTTCATGAACCTCTATAGAAGCCTCATTCGCACCCGCTTAGATTATGGGGCCGTTGTCTATCAGTCTGCTACTCAAAGTGCTTTGAAGATGCTGGACTTCGTGCACCATTTGGGCATCCGCCTTTCTACGGGTGCTTTTCGTACCAGCCCCGTAGAAAGCCTTTACGTTGAGCTAAAAGAGTGGTCGGTTCATCTGCAGTGAACTTACATGTCGTTTGTATATTTCCTAAAGGTGAAAGCAGGCAAGAAGCACCCCTTCTACTCTACTATTATTGATTTGTCCAGCTCCATTCTGCTTCAAAACAGGCCTTCGATGAGACAGCCCTTCTCAGTTCGCCTGAAGGGTCTAACTGAGGAAACTGGAGTGTCACTTGAACACAGTTTAATGGCTCCTGTAGCATACCCGCCACCGTGGCAGTGGCAGACTATAAACTGCGATGTGTATTTTCTAGAAGTTACAAATCATGCGCCTAGGGCCCATATTCGAACATACTTCCTAAAACTTCAACACAAATACACACGTCCTGGGTTCTTTACAGATGCCTCCAAGTGTAACTCCTGTGTGTCCTACGCTGCTGTCGGCCCATCTTTTTCGGATGCTGGCCCTTTAGATCCAGGCAGAAGTATCTTCACAGTGGAAGCTTACGCAATACTTGTGGCGGCTAAACACATCAAACAATTACAAATACAAAAAGCAGTAATTTTTACGGACTCCCTCAGTGTGTTAACGGCTCTGCAAACCCTTAAAAACAAAGAAAAACCCTGTCCTCGTCGCACTTTACTCCATTTTATGCACACTCTACACACACAAAGAACATGTTGTAGTGTGCTGGGTGCCAGGGCACCGTGAGATTCAAGGCAACGTGAGGGCGGATCAGGTCGCTGCATCCGTCCACAAAAGCACTGCCCCTACACCCATATCCATTCCGGCCCTTGATCTTAAGCCGTCTCTCAAACGAAACCTCAGGGACTACTGCCAGAGCAAGTGGGATAGACACACACAAAACAAACTATACAATATTTAGCCACACCTTGGTCATTGGCTGCCAGTACCAAAATCGCGTCATACAGAGGTAATACTAACGAGGCTTAGGATAGGGCACACATACATGACACACACATATCTTTTGTCCGGTGACAATCCGCCATTGTGTGAAAGATGTGGTGAATCATTAACAGTCCTTCATATAACAGTCCTTCACCCTAAAAAAACAACTTTTTCCATTACCCTACCGACAACATATACCTTCACACACTGCAATGTTTGTCGGTAAAGAACCGCTTTTAGTCATAAATTATTGTTAGCATTTTCAAAAGAAATTCATAGTTTTCATATCATATACCTGGGCATTCCGTAGCACTACCTCTCAAGAGAGGTTTTTGCTGCGGTGGCTACAAAAGAAAGCACTCGCCTCATGGCCCTTGGACGCAAGGGTATGAACGAGTGAGGCACTTGTGCTAATGCCATACATGTCCACCATCGTTTTTATGATCACCAACTTTTGTCATCTATTCACAACACACACACCTTTCACGGCATGGTCATGATTTTATTACTTGTATGTTTTTACCCGCCTTACAGGGACAGAATTTTATGTCCCCTATACAGACGCTTATCACAATCATTGTCCATATTTTTAGTAAGATGAACTGGCGCTCTTTGGCCGTGAAATGGCCCTTGGGCCACAAAACATCAAACATCATCATCATCAATAACCCTGTTCATATAAACTTCACTTTTCATGCATGTCTTGTCTTGCTCACTACAATTGTCAGTTTATTTCGATTAGCCTTTGTTTACTATGCTTTTTGTCATTTTATTGCTAGGATACCGTCTAGACTGAATTCATGCCATCGAATGATAGGCAAAAGCTCATTGACCTGTAGCCAATGGCCATAAGTGACAGTAGCATGTACTGTTTATTTTTTAACACACCTAAGTGCTCAATGGGATGAATGGGACATCTACCGAGGTCGTAGCCCTTTTGGCGGAGCATCATATGAACTTTCAAGAGGTTTCAAATTGATTCCCTGAAATAAACGTCTCCTTCGTTGACCTTATTTTCCGCTGTAAAATTTGCATAATTGCCACTCTACAGCTAAACGCTGGAATAATCTCCCCAATGCCGTTTTTGGCTTCAATGACCATTCGCTTTATTAGGTTGTGTCGGACAAGAAAAACGAGGCCCTACTTTCTGCACCTTTTCTCTTCAGTTCTGTCTCAAAGTTCAACTTGGCTGATACAGCACACATGACACAACAGAAAGTAGGTGCTCTTACTGTTCGTCGTCGTCTTGTGTGCGCTATAACAACCAAAATGAACGCATGTCAGCAAGCCCGAGCTTCCGATCTTAGCGATAATATAGTGCTTGGCATACCACAAAATCAGTATCCACACTGTCCGAAACTATCAGAAAACGTGCAGACATATCAGAATCAACAGTTAGCATTAACAATGCAGAAATACTTCAGCATTCTAAGTACTATATATAAATATAACAACTTCAATTATTGGATTTCATTATTTATTATATTGTAGTAATTCACAATATAAAGCTCTCGAGTAGCTCCAACAATAATAAGTATGCACTAATTGTCACGTAATATGGAAGAAATCATGCTCGCACAATCAAAACTTACAGGCGAAGCTTCAGGGCCAGGCAGTTTTAGTTATACATCAAAGCAGCCTATACCATTCATCATACTAAGCTTTCACCATACACCTACATGACTATGCAAATCATTGTCAAAGAGAGGACATTTTGTTCATCAAGCAAACATATGTAATGGCAGGATTAATTATTTCTACCGCTTTTTTTTTCAGGTAATACAGCAACAAGCAGAGCATGCGCTAGACAAACAAATTTAATTGAACTGACACACAAGTCTCTCAATGATAAATTTTATATAGACGCTCACTTACATTCAATAAGGCTTCTAGTTTATTATGCACACTTTGTTTTACCACAACCACAATAATTAATAATAGTAACCTTAATTGCTCGTTTCACAAAAACTTGCATGCGTATATGGCCTGCCAAAGAAACATTGGCCTTGAGCAGCGTGTGCCTGGAAGCAGCAGAGAACAGCAATTCTTGAAGGTATACATTTGCTTATATAACAAAAATCAAAACAAAATTGACACAGCAAAAAAAAAGCGTCAAGTGTAGTGCACACAGGAAAGAGTCCACGTGCGCAGTACTCTTTGAGGCAGCTTATTGAAGTGCAGATGAACGTAGTACTCTCGTATTTTTTTACGATACGTTGTACAACGTCTGGGTAATATTGTCATGGGGTCGTGACGTAACCGAAGCCAGTAGACTTTATGTTGGGATTTAACTGTTTATTTGGGTGAACCTGTGCCCAGCAAACGGAATAAAGTCCGGAAGCTTCTCGAAAACAGCACGCGCGTTTTGCGCTGAGAATTGTGTAGTGTTTTGGGGCGACCACAAAACTTGAGAAATGGAACGTGGCAATATGAATTTTTTTTTTTGATGCAAATGACGTCAATGAACTTTTCTGGGTCTGAAACCATTGTTCCAAAAGGTACTGATCGTTATACTTTTCATTACAAAGTGAGTGAAGTCCACCATACGTATTGTTTTAAAAGCATCACCTTCGGCATTCACGTTAACCCCATAACTTAAGTTTTTAACATGTGCCGAAGAAGGAAGTTTCAAAAATGTGTTAGAGTTTCACAAATGATTTAAAAAACGACGATTTGATTCACACAAATGAAACGCCTTTCTTAAACTTTTCTGCACAACTAAACATGTCTTAAACATACGGCCCACGTATTTATAACAAGTGGGTCAGGTTTTATGGGACTCCCTTTCTGTACATTTATTACATCTGCTCATGAGGTGCGCAGCAAGACTCGTGTAAGCAGTTTTAAATGCGAAGCGTTTCTCGGTGAACTTTGGCAACTTTGAGCGTATCAATCTATCTATCATCTATTTATCTAGCCGCTTACGTTCGGGTGCTCTCGTGGTCACCTACCTAACATAGCGTGAACCAAAATTAGCCAGGGAGGGTAAGTAAGGTGGTTCGACGAATATGACCCACTGGTCAAGACGAAAACAATGTTACAATCCCGTCGCGTACGTCGTAAAACACTTCCCGCCAGACAGTGGCACATACCCACGGGCGGGCAAGTGCCGGTGGTATGCGGGTATGGGCCACAAGTGATAGACACTTGGTACCTACCCAGGAATGACGAGAACACACATCGGTGATTTTAACACGTGAACGTTAAGCATTACCAGACATGGGTAGTGTCGACTCAACGAAAGCATAGAATAAATGACAATGTTAAAAAACACTTTGATCCCAACAAATAGGGTGCGTGGACCCACTGACGAATGCAAATAACAAATTTCAAGGTCCCAGCAAGAATCAAACCCAAGCATTCGGCGTGGCTGTCAAGCATTCTGCCACAGAGCCACGCTGCGTCTCGGAACTACTTTTAAAATAGACGCTAAGATTCTTGAAACGTCAATGCTGGTTGCAGTGCTGCCTGCCCAAATTTATAAACATTACATACGTACTCTTTTGATACAGCCGTCACATCGGGTTAACGTCAATTGTGGTAAGGTGCCATGCGCTGAAGATAAATTATGTAGCAGTGTCCAGGGCCAGCACCTTCGCGAGCATAAGCGCTTCATATCAACTTCTGCTGTTGCTTATACGCATCTTTCAGTTGACATTGTTGCGCAAGTGCAAACAGCTGGCTATATGAACATCTGCAACTCTTCAACATATGTCTGTGCGTGCAACATTTGTACATATATTTATCATTATTTTTTGACATGTCGCTAAGTCAAAAAATTTCAACTAGTCTCACCTTCTCTCCGCACGCTTCGCATAACATTGATTCATCCCAGGTACGTGGGACGTGCTGAATTTTATCGTATGTTCTCCATGTAGCCACCATAGGCTTGAACATAGCTTTATTATAAAAACAAGACATTACTATTGACTTCCCTAGTTTGGTCATTCTACAGGTCTTACTGCTAATGAGTTTTGCTGCTCCTGTATTATAACTTTGATTTGCTGCATCTTTAAAAGCTAAACCAATAGCGCTAAAGAAACTAAACACAAACGAACAAAACATTTTGCTTGGTGAATTGAACATTACATGGCCTTGTAATTCATATTGTAATTGACCTCGAGGACCACCGGCTACCTGGCTGTCATGCAGGAACGAGAGACTGCACGTCCGAAAGGAACGCTCTTTAATGAAACAATGATCCTTCAATACTGGTCATGAAACTCTCGCGAAAGTTTCATATGGGGACAAAAGTGGCCACCTGATGTGTCACTTTAGCAGAAGGGCATCAATCGGCCGCCCTTGGCAGGGCTGTTGCGCGTTCGCGGAAACCTTTATCGTCAAATACACTTTTTCAGATATTTTCGTTCTCTCTGTTCTCGCTAACAAATCATAGCACCCATTTGTATAAACACAGAGGCTCATGATGCGCGTTGTGTAATTGCCTAAGTGCTTAATTGCTGGCAATGTTTTTACAGAGCCTGTCTGTGAAGTGACGCGCGTTCGTAGCGTTGCCAAATTTTTCAATTCCTGAATAGTTGCTTTCACGCTTAAACCGAACAGTGACTAGTCCTAGAAGACTGAAAGGTTAACATTGTTTGTGCTAGAGATTGTGGAGCAGTCGTACTCTGGCTACACGTAACGTTGATTTTCGCAATAATTGTCACTTTGTTTTATAGGGCTTCACGAAACAGCCAATAGAAGTTCGCGTGCCAATAACCAAATCTGTATATCAGGGTCACTTGGCAATAATAGTTTGAATTGCCTCTTGAGGAGTATCATTAGACATAAAGCCGAAACATTAAAAGCTCAGAATTAGACACCACAAGACGGAAAGGGTTTGCTCAAGGTGTGTTGTTTGCTTTTTTTTGTTTGGTATCATATTTTGCGCCCTTGATTTCAAAGATGAAAAAATATAAGATTGAACGGTTGTATGCTGCTATATATACGCACTGCGTGCTATTTTGAAACGAAAGCTTTTGATTTGACACATGTTAATTTCATAATGCGGCCGGGTTTAGATATACACGACTTTCTTATTCATGTTCATGTAATCTTCTAATTACCTCAACTTCTAAGTCCGCGTTTTAATTAGCCACAGTGTTCCTCCTACGTGCCCAGAGAAATCAACCGGGATCTTCCTTCAACCCAGTTGCTCAGTTCAAACAAATACTTGGTACAGCGTCGTCCACCTGTCTCAGCATTCTCGGGACAGTGAAGTGATGACTCCGTTCACTGTGCACACGTCCGCACCCCCGATGACTCTGGTGTCAGAATGTTTTTTTTTTCACAATCGCGAGCGTTCTTCGAGTTGAACGAAAATCCAGCAGTCTCTTGTCGCAGGATCGCACGATTCCAACGGTTGCCTTGTTCGGCGTTGGCTGGTAAACAGAACAGGGAAACTTTTTCGAGGGTACCCTTGTATCTAGAGCGACAGCCCGGCACGCAGCAGGTGCTCAGCAGCATGTCAACATGATGCGTTTCCAAAAAGAGGTAAGTGAGGGCGATCTTCAGGACACCCACCACTCCGCGCCAGCACTCCACAGAACACCTACCACACCGCTAATGGCGGCCAGTGAAAGAGCGGGCCGGGCTGGCTTCCTCGCCCCTCTTTCCTACATGCTCGCCCCTCTATCTACGCCTGCGCCGCGGTGCGGAAAGTGCGGATGGCGTATGAAGCTCTCCCATTGAGTAACACGGGAGTTACATGACAAGAAAAAGTATTGAAGGACCATGATGGAACAAATGAATAGGAAAAAAAATACTGCAGCATATCCACGGAGTGAATGATGGAGAGTGGGGCGAAGAATTCGTCCGTCCTTTCGTTCTTCCTTCCGTCCGTCCATGCGTCCGTCAGTGTGACCGTCCATGCGTCCATCAGCCCGTCCGTGCGTGCGTCTGTTCGTGCGTCCGTCCCTGCGTTCGTCCATGCAGCCGCCCCTGCGTCCGTTCATGCGTCCATCCATGCATCTGTCTATGTGTCCGTTCGTCCATCTATTCAACACTCCAAGTACCACCATCTCGCATCTTCTCATCATATATTCCACATATAGAAGCACCGCCATCCAGCGGACATTCCAAGGACTAAACGAGAGGTGGCACACGCACACTTTTTTATGGCTTGCGCTTCGGGTCCACTTCCCACCTTTAACCACCTCGAGTTCGTGGTATATACTAGTTCACTGCATTCATGGCACTGCAGCCGAACGCTCGCTAAACCTTTCGAAAAGCAAGGAGGTTACGCCGAGCAAGTATGACGTAGCAAACTTTTTCAGTCAGATAGTGCTCAATGTACATGCCAATGGCTGCTAATGGGAAATGAGAGGCGGAAAATTCGGCTTTTACTTTCTTACGGCTTGCGCTTCGTATCTACTTCCCATTTTTAACCACCTCGAGTTCATTCATGGTATATACAAGTTCATTGTATTAATGGCACTGCGGCTCAACGCTTGCTAAAACTTTCTAAAACTAAGGAGGTTACACCCAGCCAGTATAACGTAGCAACCCTTTCTTGTCAGATAGCGCTCAATGTACATGCTAATGGCTGCTAATGGTGATCGCAGCCTGCGCGTTAACTAAAAGCCGAATGCTCCTGTCTCTCATTCCCCATTAGCAGCCATTGACGTGTACATTGAGCCCTATTTTTTATTGTTCAACAACGCACAGAAGAAGTCTCTCACCGGCACCACCTCGGAGGTTAAAATGTTATACTTGTTACATGCTACGGGGGACGAACGGGTGCCGCTATAAGGAGCTTCGCCCCTAAAACTGATGGCTTCGTGCGCTCGAGCGAGTGGCAGCTCGTGAGGAGCACTCGCGATGATGATGAACGGCGTCTGCTTCGTCAGTGAAGACGAAGTTACATCTTCCTGGGTCAACCAACAGACGCAACGAGAAATTGAGCGAAACAAGGCTAAGAGAGACGGTCAGTGTGAAGTTCGATTTCCTTGGAAGAAAACTGTAGATCTTGAGGACAATTTCTCTGTCACTACTAAACGCCTTGGGCATTTGATGAGCAAGC